CCGGTTTATTTGTAGCCTTTATAATTGTTTTCTCCCACTTTTTTTCTGTTGGAAAAGAACCAGGAAAAACTTGGTCTCTGAAGTAATTGAGTGGCTAATTGTTTTTCATTTGAGGATTTCACAATTTGGGTTCACCTAGGGAGTATTTGTGATTTTTTTTTTATTTCTTGCTTCATATAAAGTGTTATTTGTATCTCCTTTTACACTCAGCTTGGACACTTTCACTAAGAAAGAAATCCTTAGCAATTTTGATCTCGTCTAATAAGCATTGATGATTGTATACCCCTCACAAAAATGCTCAAAACTCAAAAACCAATAATAAGGGAAATAGATGGGAACATGGAAAATAATTAGGTGTTTTCTAGGAATATGGCTTTTTCTGAAATATGAGTGGATTGGAATAGACTGTCAAATTAAAGGGTTTAGTAAATTATTAACAGAAATGAAAGGCTTATATAAGGGCATAGTAAGCTATTTTGGGCTGTTAATGTGGCATTCTGATGAGTCAAGATGTTTGTAGGGATTGGGAATGTTTTAAAAAGAGGTGATTTTGCATAGTTAGCATACTATTTGGTCTTTTTTATGCAACTGTAGGAACAGCAGTCTTTATTCTTACATAGAAGATATTCTTAGATTCTCACATACAGTTGTATTGCCTGTGCTAATAAGGTTAAATTTTTTTAATAGTACAGAAGTTCTCAAGCATTAGAACTTTTTGGTTTTTTCTTGAGAAGTGATTTTTTTTGCTCTAGATGGACTGGCTCGTCTATCTGTAGCCATAGCAATGATGCCAGACATCTATAATTTTACACCCGGTCTTAGTTACTTTTCTTCAGCTGGAGTGGAACATAGCTAGGTTACCTTTCAGATAGTGGTGATACAGAATGATAGGCGCATGTTCAAAACAAGAATGTGTTGATTATTAGTCCTGTTGTTTTGAACTATTTTTGTAAGATAAACAGGATATGGATGTTTTTCAGACCTGGAAATTTTATTTTCTCTGAGTTTCAAATTTTTTTCTGAGAGGATTAGAAACAAGTGAGACCATAAGTCTCTATTCCAAACCAGTGAAATCCAAAAGTCAAGGGGTTTTAATCTTTAAAGATGTCAAATATGATTTAACATATTTTGCACGTTTGCACTTACCTGAAGTTTGCACATAGCTAAAGTTCAAGTACTCTAGCTAACAAAGGTCCCAATTTTTGCATGGAAAGGAATACTGATAAGTAAAGTCAGCTTCTAAAATATGCTAAAGTATCACAATGTGTAAGCTTTTATTCCTATTACTGCTAAATTGATATATGTGGGTAGAAGAAGATATACAGAACTGTTGAGTGTAAAGAATATGGGTGAATATTTGAAACTATTATGCAGATGTGAATTCAGAATGACTGGTTATATAAAATTTGTATTCATTTTAAATGATAACAGCAATGCTAAATTTTAATTTGGGGAAGGACAGCTAGCTAACTATCAGTTCAGTGTGTTTTAAATTAGAATCCAAAATCATGCTGACAAAAGTAAGAGAGGGAATTCATGAATAACAGATGTTTTCTTTTTTTTGATCAGATAAAAAATCAAAGTAGAAAAGGTGTATTGCAGGATGCCTTTAGCCTGAGAGAGAAAAAAATACACATGGAAGTAGATATTTGACTTGTATAAAGTACAGAGACTTATTTGCAAATGGATAGAAGGCAGATAGCATGGTGTAGTGACTGAAAGATTTAGCTGAGGATTTGGAGGCCTGGGACATACATTTGATATTGCAGTGTAAAGTAATGTCAGTCAAGTATCTTGTCAGTAGTATTGAACACCTCTGCAAAGTAAGTTGTAATCAAATGACAAAGCATGATATATGAATTGTGTATTTAATGTATGTGTGTGTGTTTGCACATGTGTGCGTGTCATGCTCTCTTTTTCTTTTTTTAGTTGGGGCAGTATATAGTGCATACAAGTTCAGTTTTAAACTCTGCTTTGCTTTTAAAAGATGAATAATACAGTTTTTCATCAGTTTGAATTATTACATTGAGACTTAAAGAAACTGTTTTGTTCTTTGTAGCTGAGCCAATAACGTTTCCACCTGGAGGAGGCAAGTCATTTATTATGGGTTCTGATGATGTGTTGTTAAGTGTACTGGGCCTTGGAGACCTTGCAGACTTGACAGTAACAAATGATGCAGACTATAGTTATGATGTAAGTGCAATTTTATTTTAAAATTCTTTATATAGTTTAATCAATAATAGTTGGACCCCCTCTCCCCCACCCTGAGCATTACAGATGCAGAGAACAGAGGTTTTGTTAGCAAAAACTATTACATGGGAGGAGGAGGGAGCACCTTGTGAATGGGCTAAGTAATATGGGTAATCAAAATAAGTGAGATGACTGGTTTGTTTTCTACTTAGATAACTTAATTCAGATTTTGTCACTGGGTGAATGTGTTATGACATAAAATACAGACTGACGTCTTAACATGAATTTGTTTTAACAAAAATGGCAATTATACACTGATAGGGAGTATTGAGAAGACACAAATATCGATTTTAACTTATTTCTTTGCTCTCCCCTTTATGTAGTGTTAACAGCATAGACTATATATAGCAGTATATTTCAGATGTAAGCTTTTAGGGTGTATTTTTATTATAATCAAGAGTGTTCTGACATTCCTTTGACTGTATTCATGAAGCTGCTACCAGTAGTGTTATATGAATTTTTTATTGGCTAGGAGCATGTGATGGCTGGTTAGGGAAGTGTTCAGGTAAGTCTTGCATATTGTATTGTATTTAAAGTGTCTTGTACTTTTGGGTTTTGATCTTTTTTATTATTGTTGTTGGTAAGTTACCTCTTTGTTTCTATAACTTTGCAAGTTAGATGGTGTTTGTATTACCATTACTAGGGATTTTATTATAATCTTAGAATCCACAAAGTGAAGAAATAAACTGTTTATAGCTTTTTACAGGGTCCAAAAATACTAGTGTGTGACTGCACACCTTTTTTTTTGATCGTGGTTGTCCTTCAGTATTTATAACTGGTATGATTAGTAATTGCCATAATAAAGTAAGAGCCAGTATTTAGATTTCTCCATTATTGCAGGGTGTTATGTTACATAGTTCTATTTCCTGAAAAACAAATTAAGAAGTTATTTATCCATCCTTCTATTAGTGAACTGTATAAAAATAAATGAAAACCCTTTTTAAAACATTTGGAGTACTCTCTGAATTTGTATAATATATGTACATGTTCACAGTAAAGATTAATCTTTAGGTTGTTTCATTTCATATGACATAACACTTCTGGGAAATCAAGTAGTTTAGTGTCAGAATTCAGTTTCAGCTCTGTGAATCTTAACTTGCTCAGGATTTTGCCTTCTGTCTAGGTTAATCTCTTGTGTGATCACATGTAAAATATGTCTGACTTGAGGGTCATGTACAGCTGTTTAGAAAATAACTTTTTTTTTTATAAAGTTTCAATGAAATCTGTGAACAGGTGGACTTCAAAGAAAAGTTTTCCAAAAGCTTCTGTTGTAAATACTTTAAGGCAACTTAAATGTAAAACATCCAGAACTGAATGTTCCCAACTACTACTCCTAACTAGTGGTGAATTCCATGGGAAGTTATGAAGTTGAATGGTTTGGGGGTTGTTTTACATACTGCAGTATTTACTTGGTTTAATAACTTCTTCTAAATGCTCCTGTCTGTGTCTTAAAGAGTTAAGAAAAGTTTGGTTTAATGCTAACTTGCATCAGGAAAAATATGTATTTTAAATAAAATAAAATAATCAACTGACTAGTTTAGAAGCTTGATTTGCTTTAAGTGTTATTCCCATTTTACTGGCAGTAATATAAGGCATCAAAAAACTAAGTGACATACTTTCAGTAGTGAGGCTGCTACAGTTGTGAGATTAGATCATAAATTGTTTTTGCAGTTGCATTGTGCTCTGTGTCTGTCCTATTCCCAAGTTCAGAACTTTGGAGTGTCAAGATCTGGTGGGTCAGACTTGCCCTTCATTAAATTTATAAAGGTAACGTGACAACCTTTGGCCCTTAAGGCAGATGTTTGTAATCACAGAATTTTCTGATTCTTTTTTCTTTAAAAATCTAAAATATTTCTCAAGTGCCCTTCTTTCCTCTTCTGCCCACGAAAATCCCAAGTAAGCCTGTATGCTGGAAAATTAGACTAATTAGTATGGTGACCTTTAGTGCAGTTGGATTTGCAAAATTTTCTCATTAAGACCCTTCGTTAGAGGCACTTTAATTACAGCTTAGTTTGCGAGGTATGTGAGGAGACATTATCTCATGCTTCAATATCTGTCTGATAGAGGAGACAAAAGTTAAAAGTAAGTTTTTGCTTTCTTACTGGATCATTCGCCAAATAGGAATGAGAAGTGATTGACCATAAATGTCACTTGGTTTCCCTGCTTCCTATCCAGTCCCCCTTTCCCAGTCCTCTTAGCATATCTGCTGTCTTTTTAAGTGTACCTGAAAAATGTGTGGTGGCTTCTGACTTCTTCATCTGTCAGAAAAGAGAAACGTGCAGTGTCAACACAGATGGAAAGGATTTTTTTTTTTTTTTTTTTAAGACGGGAGTATCTGTCCTGTTGTGGATCTGAAGATACTGAAATTCAGATGCTGTTAGTTCTCTATCACAGTGTTCCTTCAGGATAAAAATCCCTTGATAGTTCTTAATATCTGAAGTGGTTTCCGCATAACCGTGGATCTGCGCTGCAGTAAGACCATGCCTTACCTTGTACCTGTAATACAGTACTTGTAGGACATCTTCAACTCCTGGCCTTATGAGCTTACCTAAGCCATCTCCTTTTCCAGTAGATCTCCAGATAAGCAGATGAATGTTGAGCTAAGTTCATGTTTAAGTAAAACAACAACAAAAATACCTTGAAAACCCTTAATATTCCCACTCCTTGCATATTGCTCCCAATAGGTCTGTGCTCTTCAGATGGCTTGTATGAGCCATTATAATGTGTGAATAAATAAACCCACAACAGAGTTCCACTAGCTTTCATCTATCACTCCTTGATGAGTGTTGTATTTTGAAAAGGAGAGGATATGTGGACCAGATGGGGATTAAGTTTTAAGAATTTCAGCTATCGCTGGAATTTTTTTCTGTATGTTGGATGATTCAGTGCAGAAGTTGTCTGCGAGACTAGTCATCTCGGTGGTAGATACTGTAATACAGTGTAGTCATCTCAAGTCATGTCTTTTTCCGTATCTTCTTCTTTATACTTACCCTCAGTGTGTGTAGTTGTTTGTATGCTGAGGTAGTAATATTGTCACCAAATTAAATGCTCCCATATGCGTATTCTTGGGTTCCATAGCTTCATAGGACGGTGGTTGTTCACTCTAGGACTTGCTGCGAAATGGTAAGTCCTCGTTTATCAGAGCGTCTAAATATGGAAATCTCCTGTCAGTCACAACATTATCAAGAAAAAAATAACATTAAAAGACTCTGACTACAGTTACTAATTGTTGCTTTCTAATTCCTTGTGTTTGCTGTAGGTGAGTAGTTGTTTGAGATAGGGAAACACACATCTCCTTACTCTGCTGTAAGGATTCTATTGACTGCGAAAACAAAGAAGATTTTCCTTCCCTGGTGTCTGTCTGTGTGGTTTTTTTTGGTTTGTTGTTTGTTTTTGTGGAGGATTTTTGGTTTGTGGTTTTGTTTTTTGGGGTTTTTTTGGTTTGTTTTTTTTTTTACAACTAGACGTAGTTTCTTTCAGTGTGGTTTGCTGGTGGTTTACAAGGCAGAATGAATAGGTTGCTTGCCTGTGTTCCCATGAACATAAACAAAACAAAGGCAGAAAGGGGTTTTTTATTAGGTTAGATTGAGCAAGTATTATAAAGCAGGCATTTCCAATTCTGATTGCTCCTCATCTGTTTTGCAATTTCTTGTGGTGCATGGTTTGTGTGGTTTTTATTTTGCTCTAAGTCTAAGGAGATTTTGCGGTAAAGGTTCTTTAGGATATGTAAAGTGTTTTGTGTCTCCTGACCTAGCCAGAGTTTTTGTTCTGGTGTTGCTGGGTGTTTTCGGATGGGGGAAGAACAGCTCCTGGTTTTGGTAGGCCCTACGATTCTAAGCATCTACTCTGTGGCTAGCAGGGGACTATGATCAAGGATTCAGCTGATCGCTCTTGGTCCTGTTTAGTAAAGTCCACCAAAGTTTAGGGGAAAAAGGGAGAAGGAGCTAGTGAAGCTGTATGGTTCCATAGTCTGTCTTCTCACTACTGTCTTTATCTTTTGACATTTATTTACAGTAGAACATTAAAACTCAGTGGAGCAGGGTGTCCATGCCTTTTGTTCTGAGAGGCTTTTCAGGTGTCACACTTTGGAATATTGATATGCAGTGTCACATTTTACTTCTTTTCCACAATACCTCTGACCCATTTTGTATCTCATTTATCCTTTGTAATCAGCAAATCCCTTTTTCCAAGTCATTGACTGTTTTTTTTGAGGTGTATGGGTTTTTTTGAAAAATACTACTGGAGCTTTTTTTCTTAGAGGTTGAAAGGATCTCTTTTTAAAGATATGTTAGTTCTCTTACTCTAGCAGTAAGGATGTCATGTTCATTGGAAACATGGATGGGGAAAAAGAATTAAACAAGAAAAAAAATCTATAGATCTAGGAAGTGGAACATCTAGAGATGTTCGAGTCTGTTTTTAAAAAATTAGGGTCTTAAAGCTATACTTAAGATAGGAAACGTACCTTGTAACTACTTTTTTTTTTAACTTCTGCAAATCCTGTACTTTGCACTTTAGCAGGTACCTCTGAACTGCTGAGAACTAAATTACAACTGTGATGGCCATTTTAACAAAAAAGATTTAATGAGCTCTTTTCCTTTTTCTGAACAATAAGGACCACTCTGTTTGGGTCCAGGCTTTTGTGAATGACTCTTCATCGCAACTGTAATAGAAATCAAGTGTGATGTGGATGTATGTCACACCCAAGCGATCAAGGTCTTCTGTCTCATATGGGACATAACATATGCTAAAATTAGCCATTGCTATTTCAAAAGTTTGGCTTTAGTTTGTCTAAGCCCCAGATCGCCACAAGTGCACAAGGCAACATGAGTTAGCCAGGTGGATGAGTACATTACATAATGAGGATTAAATATGCCAGAAGACTCTGCTAGAAAAATATCTTTGTTTTGTTTTGTTTTTTCCTTTTCTTATCCACTCTTAGATTCAGGGAGGTGAATAAATATGCAGTTGGGGCTGAAATCTATCAAGTTTAATGCAGAACTCCAGAATTCCACTTTGAAACAGAAGATTATTCTTTTTATGAAGCTTGCATATAATATGCAGCATGGTGTAAAATAACTTGCATCTCAGAAAAAATATTGCAATATCCAGTGTTCTCTGAAGTAGGAAGATTGGAAACAAAATGCTTTGTTATGAAGTGTATTTATTGGTTGGTACTAAGAAAAATAAAAATACAGGTTACACCTCTGGTGTAACAAGTTTCTCTTGCTTGATCTGAATTTGGCATGGCTTGCACTTAGGCCAGAAATTTACATTAATATAAGGGAAAAGCAAATGTCTGCACATCTGTAACTCAGAACAGTAAATTTTATTGTCTGAGCCTTTCTATTTATTTTGTTTGGATAGAATCAAATTTAGTTTGAGTGAGTAGTGGTAATTCAGTACAGGATATAGATTTGGTCCAGGAATACTTATTATGGTATATGTTATGTTATGATCTGATTTTTATTACTTTCAGTCCGACAGATATAATGTACTAAGATTTTATTAGCTATGGGAGATTTTAATCTCTTAATAGTATTGCTGAAAATCATAGAATCATAAAATAGTTTGGGTTGGAAGAAACCTTTAAAGGTCATCTAGTCCAAATCCCCCCTGCAATGAGCAGGGACATTTTCAACTAGAGCAGGTTGCTCATAGCCCCATCCAACCTGATCTTGAATGTCTCCAGGGATGGGGTATCTACGATGTCTCTGGGCAACCCATTGTTCCAGTGTTTCACCACCGTTATTGTAAAAGCTTTCTTCCTTTATATCTAATCTAAATCCTACTCTCTTTTTTAGTTTAAAACCATTACCCCTTGTCGTATTGCAACAGGCCCCGTGCCTTAGGACACTGAGAGAGTCAGGCCTGCAGTTGGGAAACATGCTTTAACAGTTACATGGTGAACAGATAGCATGTAAGGCAAAGGACAGGACTAGACTCCATTCATTCTTAGTTTGCTAATTTTGGTCATCTAACTAAACTCAATTTTCTAAACTCCCTTTATAATTACTTGAGGGGAAGAGAGAAGTACCTGCACGTGTATTTCTCCTTATGACGGAGGCTTAGGACACATGGGATGTAGAATTTTAGGGGTCTACTCTCTACCTAATATAAATTGTATTCAAAGCTCTAAATCAGTCTCTTGCAGTCACTAGAAGACTTTCAGGTTACCTGGTAACTCTTCTGAATTACCTATAATTAATATTAAGCAGCTGTAATTTTTTGTATTTTAGCCTAACAGTCTATAGATTAAGAGTCTGAATTGGATGTTCACAATATAAATGTGAAGTTTGTATATATTGCTTCACATAGTAACTAAGTTATTGTCTCACAAATATATTTAAAACTCATTAAAGACTTCAAAAAATATGTCTATATAATGTTATGTTTAAAATCACGGTAAATGCTTATTGAAGCCTGGATTACCTGTTTCTGTGTACATGCCTTCACATGTAGAAGTATTCAAGAATTACATGTGTTTCCTGTCATTCTCAGTTGAGTTACTTATCTGAGGAAGATCACTCACTAGGGACCTGAAGCTCATTTTTATTGTGTTTAAGTGATAAATGAGCTTTTGACAGTTGCAATCTCTTCCTTGGGTGCAGAGAACGTAAGTAATGAAACCTTTATCTTTCTTCAGGGAAGAAGAATTAAAGTATCATTCCACAAAAGGATTAAAACAAGTTTATGAAAATCAAGGCTTCTTGTCTGCATGTTGAGTGTTGTACTCCATTCCAGTCTGGGATGAAAGAAACTATTACAATAGAAAAAATTGCAGACCACCTTGCGTGCCAGAGAGGGAGTTAGAGGTGCATAGAGACAAATAAATAGATAAATGCAAACTTAAGATTGAACATGTATTAGCTGAATCAAAAATAGTGTGTTTTCCTAAAACATGGGGAGATTTATCTTTGGTTTAAAAACATGTATAATATATAATTACTACTTTCCTTTTCTTTTTTTTAAGCTGCCAGCTAATAAAGATGCCTTCCGAAAGACATGGAACCCTAAGTACACGCTACGCAGTCATTTTGATGGAGTGCGGGCATTAGCTTTTCATCCTGCAGAGCCTGTGCTGGTTACAGCCTCTGAGGACCATACTCTAAAACTTTGGAATTTGCAGAAAACGGTTCCTGCCAAAAAGCAAGTATACAGGGTTTTATAAAACATCAGTTGTTTTAAATGCCTTTGAAATTGATTAAATGCTTAAATGTTTTCAGAGTTTTTCAGTAGACATTTCATGTAGTGTAGTAACTCTTCCTTTCTCTTTCAGGAGTGCCTCTTTAGATGTAGAACCCATCTACACATTTAGGGCCCACATGTAAGTGTTTGACGTAATTAATGCTTGATAAATGTGTTGTCATTATCTCATGGATTCATAAGACACTTCAATTTAAAAGCCACAAATATATTCTGTTTTTACATTGTATAGACAAGGTCTGTTATACTTCATAAAAACAAGTATATATTGAGTCCCTGCCATGAATTGCACAGTCCATGATAAACAAATGGAATAAACTAAAACAAATGGAAAAAACTAAAACAAATGGAAAATGGGGTTAGTTACAGTGGCAGGGAGAGATCGTAGAAGATGATCATGAATTCACCTGAGTGATGCCCATTTCTTGGACTTTGGATTTAATATATAATATGTGAGGAAGATAAATACGGTAAAGTTTATTAGTCTTACCTAGTATCTTCAAATACAGGTCTGAGAAATTAAAAGTACAGATGCAGTCATCAGGACCAAATAAAACCTCTAATGAATGTGGATTCAATGAGTGAAAAATCAGGAGATCAAGCAAGGGACTAGGAGGGTTCTGAATTTTTTAGGGACTTGAACAAGAATAAGAGATAAAATTTCATTGCCAAGATAGGCCAAAGTAGTAGATAGTGCATAGGTATTAATTCATACATATGCCTCTCAAAGCTGAGGGAACCTGGAAATCAGTGAGATAATTATTGTAGTCAAAAAGTTGGTTAATACCTGAGTAAAGTTCTGATAGCTACAGTCAGTTCTCTTGCAATGTCAGCCTGGTCGAGTGGGAGGTGTACCCTGCCCATAGCAGGGGGAATTGGAACTAGATGATATCTAAGGTCCCTTCCAACCCAGACTATTCTATCATTCTTTGATAACCTAGTTAGTTGGGTAAGCTTCATGAGAGCTCTTAGGTAAGCATGGAAGTGGATAACAGTTCCTGTGGTGGCCTGGACAGGAAAAAAAAAAAAAAGTTAGTAGTTCGTATTAGGAAATCTACACATACTGTTGTCATAGTAGTTTGTATTAGGAAATCTACACATACTGTTGTCACTGTCCTCCTTCCCTTAAGCCACTTACTTGATAGAATGTAATGTCTTGTTCTTGCACTTCTTAGCTAAAGCATAAAGTATTCTTCCCTAGAGCTGAGTGACTAATTTGTCTTCATTTTTAAATACAAGTGTTCTTTTGAGTGATAGAGGGTCACTGACCAGTTAAATTCTCCTTCAAATCTCTGTCTAAATTTGGGCTCTTATTTGGGCTTTTGTTAATACCAAAAGGTAAGTTTTGGTGATGTTTTGATACAGAACTAATCCCCACCCTGTGACTTCCAATGAGACTGGTAACCAAGTAATTTTACTATTTTTCACCTTTAGGCAGGCTTTGAGCAAAATTCCCTTTCAGCCCAGCTTTGTTCTTCGCTTTGCCAAATACGTAGGTAGATTCAACCAATAGTCTTCCTTTTCACCATCTTCAGATATGTAATTCTAGTTTGCTCATCTGCACTTACACAGCCAGTGAACTCCTTGTATCGTAAGCGTGGCCCATCAGATGAGCCTGGAGTCTGATTTTGGGGATATGGTTTTACCATACAGTTAAACCTGACTTAGTAGTGTGTCCAAAGGAGTAGACCTGCTGCTTCCTTTGGGCTACATCTTTTTCTTGTCTGATATCACAGCTAACAGGTTGAAGTTAAACCAGTAAAAGTCTAACCTTGACCAAAAAAGTACTCTTTGGGATCATTATTCTGAACCAGTTTACTGCGGGATAGGTTACAGTCAGTTCCTAAAATAGGATGAGAAAATAGGTGGGAGGGGGGTGGGGGAGGCTACAACCACCTCTTGCAGCACAGCTAGCTATTAGACTGGCATAAATGCACTGTAAAAACTCACTATTTGTAGGTGTAGTTACTGTTGCTTCTGAGAAATAAGATGGTGTTCTTTGAGTTTTTTGAATTTGGATAGTTTTAATATTTTAATCCAGGTTAGTATCACATGTTCAGACTTTAAAAAGGTTTTAACAGAATTGTTTCTTTGGAGTTTGAATTTTTTTTAACTCCTTAATCCAATCAATTATTTTTTTTTTAAAGTAGATAGACAAATTTTCACTTCCATCCTGTGGGCAGTACTAGTAAACTTCTTTTTCTTTGTCTCCCAATAGTGGACCTGTATTGTCATTGGCAATTAGCTCCAACGGAGAACAGTGTTTCAGTGGTGGTATTGATGCAACCATCCAGTGGTGGAACATGCCTAGCCCTAATGTGGATCCATATGATACCTATGGTAAGCACCTTTTAAAATAGAAACAACTCATGCACATTGTCTTCAACTTTCATTTTCTGCTTAAGCTAATCTGTTTTCTAGAGCTTTTGTAAAATGTAACTGCCATTTATCAATTAAATTGTGCATCTTCAACTTTTTTTGTGTGCTAAACATTATTTATTCCTACTTGCATTGGTGACATACTTTGTATAGAGCTGTAATAGGAAGACTAGCAATTTCTGAGGTTTAAACAGTAAAGAAAAAATAAATCATAACTCATTAAGAAGCATGTCTACTACTTTGAACCAAAATTCCAAATTTTGGAATAGTTATTTTGTCTGATAGCAAAGTCTCAGAAACTAAGATAAGTGTACTCAAATTCTGTGTCCTGCAGTTTCTGATTTGCATCTCCATTCCCAATGTCTCTAAAATCAAAGAGCTGAGAACTGCTTGGAAAACTGCACATCACTCTCCTGCCGTTGATGGTGATCATCATTTTGTGCTTCTAAGTGTAATTCTAAGGGTGCAGTTCCATGTTTGACTGAAGTTTGAATTGAACAGAGTCAAAATTCCTTACTCCTCCTCTTGTGTCAATGTAATGAGTGAGCTAATACTGCACTCAGGCTGCATAATCTGTGGCAGTGAGATGGGGAGGGATGGAGAGCAGTGCTTTCTTATACCAATTTAGGAAGACTGCTATACCTTGTCCCTTAAAACCAATGTATAGCTCAAATTGTGCTTCTGTGCTAAAAATTTATTCAGTATAATCTAACCTCTAAAAATGGTCCGATTTTTTTCATGCAGGTAGGATCATTGCTATAATTTTAATGAGCCTCAGACAGAACTATTTCTACTCCAGTGAAAAAGATATTTTTAAAAGAGGGAGCTCTAATGGGATGTTTTACCTCCCTAAAGCTTGTTAGCAGGGTTTTGGGTTGCAAGGCCAACTTGTTTTTAATTTTATGCAAAACTAAATTTTAGTGATTTAACTGGCTTTATTGCTTTCCATTTATCTTTTTCTCGCTTCTCTACTCAAAGCCTGGTAGAGAGTAGATAAAAAACCCTCTATAAAAAAAAACTATAAAATATCAAGGAGAAGAAAATAAGAATGTGTTTATCTGTTCCACAACAGAAATAATCTTGTTTTAATTATTAGGGTGCTTGAGAGTTTTACAACATGCTCCTGTGTCAGCAGAGTATGCAGAGTGAAAACAGCATTAAGCATCACTGTTTAAGTGGAAAGCTGATTTTGTTAGGTGTGTTTGCACCTCGTACAGAGGAAGGGCTGTGACCAAACATCTTTGAGATGGTGAATTGGGAGGGAAGAAGCAGGTGCCTCAGAGAAGAGGTGGTAACAAGCGTGTATCATTCTGAAAAAGGGACATAGTTGTTTATGTGGTTTTGTTGTTTGGGTTGGTTTGGTGGGGGTTTTTGTTTGTGGTTTTTTGAGAGGTTTTGATTGGTTTTTGTGGTTGAGTGTGTTTTTGGTTTTTGAGACAGCTGGCAAAATGACCTCCTGTGTAATATTCTAGCTGTTCCTTAAACAGGAAGGGCTGGGGGGATATATGACAGTTTTATGTGGAATTTAATTTATATTGAGGTACAATAAATACTTATTTAATGTTTCTTCACTAAAAAGGTTTCACCTCTGAACTTTTGTTTTTTACAGAGCCAAACGTTCTAGCTGGCACATTAATTGCTCACACAGATGCCGTCTGGGGTCTTGCTTACAGTGGTGTAAAGAATCACTTACTGTCTTGTTCAGCAGATGGCACTATTAGGCTATGGAACCCACCAGAGAAAATGCCCTGTATTTGCACTTACAATGGAGAGAAAGGTAAGTCTTTGAAGTGGTTTTGAAAATCTGTCATGAGTCAGATGATGTTATGTCCAGGCTCGTTATCTCCATTTATCAAAACTGGGTAACAGGACTAAAGGGAAAAGATCTTTTAATAAAGTAACACTGGTGCTGTAACATTATTGTAAAGAAGGGAGCAAAGTTCTTCTTTAAAGTATAAAACAAACTAGATGCTGAAACTGTCAAAAATTTAAAAGTGTTTCATTCATTCTAAAGACAATTTTTTCTCTTTTTAGAGCATGGAATACCTACATCAGTTGACTTTATAGGTTGTGACCCTGCTCATATGGTGGCATCTTTTAACACTGGAAGCACAGTCATCTATGATTTAGAAACATCCCAGTCAGTGGTAATGCTTTCATCACAAATAGAATCTGGTAAGTAAAGCTCTTCTGTACTAAATATCCATCTTGGATGAGGTACCTTTATCCAAGTTTTATTGTATGGTGAATGAATGAAAGAAAAAGTTTTGCTTCTCTCCTGCATCATACGATTTGAAAGTTGGTTAGATGCTTAAAGATGGTTGGGGCAGACACAATGGAAAAGTCTGTAGATTAGCAGGATTTGAAAGTGGTTAGAGACAGCGAAAGCAACAGTTTTTGTTCTCTAAGCTAAGGTTTCTCAAGATTCAGATGTCTGAATTGCATATTTAAAACACAGTTTTCATTATATAGCCTTGACATGGAGGATATTAAGATAAGTAAACAAATGAATTAAGCAGAATATTACTTCAGTGTAGAATTCTGCATGGGTTGTGATTAAAAACTCTCCTGTGGAACTTTTAATATTAGAAATTCTGTTGCTACAAATAAGGTGCTACGAAAATTCAGCTCTTTAAGAATTGTATGTAACTGATGAAACTTGAGGTAGAGGAGCCTTCTTTTTTTGAACCTATGAAAGTGTTCCCTAAGGAAAACCTCCAGTTTCTGGTCATTCCTTTCTATGAAATGAGATCTAAAAGAATAATGTAAGCAGTATCAATCCAAGTAGTCCAGTTTACTTAGTGATTATACTTACAGTATTAAGTAGCTTATATAAAGACTGCAAGACAAGTTACAAAACTGTGTAAAAGTGATATTCTGGGTATCTTGTGCAAAAACTGGCATTAACAGTGAGAAAGAACATCATAAACTGGAGAAATACTTTTCCTAGTTTGAAGAGAGAATCTTAAATGGAATCAACAAAAATTAAGCACAGAAATGAAGGGAACAAGCATTGAAACACTGGCACATCAAGACTAGAAGTTTTTAGAATGCTCTTTAAAAAAACATTTTCTTAAGAGATTCTAAACCATTTATTGTTTCTTCAAGTTGAAATAAGACATAAATATATCTGACAGAATCTAATAGGTTGACTTCAGTTATTTGGGTTCTATCTTTTTTTCTTTCAAGCTAAATCTTTTTTGATGTGGAGCTATAAGAGGTGTGTGCTGAATATATATTTCAGATGTTACTGTTTGTTTCTACTTGACCAGTGCTGCCCTGCAGTACTTGCTTGGTTTGGTTGCTAGCTCTCTCAAGAATCTTTCATGTGTATAAACCACTTCTACAGCTTTAATCTTACAGTATATTAGCTAGAGTCTACCTGGCTTACCCCCATCCTGTAAAGCAGGAAGCTATTAAATATTTATTTCATAGGAGATTCACTGATACTCTTCCTAAAGTATTATTTATATATCAGCTAATATCATGAGCTAAAGTGCAATGCTAAAGTTATTCTCATTTTGACTTTAATCCGTTCTTTAAAGCAGGTGAACATTTTTTTTATTTTCAGGTATACAATCAAATAATCATATTAACAAGGTAGTAAGTCATCCCACACTTCCTGTAACTATTACAGCACATGAAGATAGACACATCAAATTTTTTGACAACAAAACGGGTAAGGATAAAGAGAACCTAACTTGCATGTGTTATTATGCTTAAAGTAAATCTGGGCGGACACAGGGAGAATCCGTTTGTAGGAATTTCCCATTGTGCAGTTTTACACAAGACAACTTTTGCTATTTGTAAGATTAAACCTCTTCAGTACCTCTTGTATGAAATAGTGATATCAGTGGCAGTTGTGACTTCAGCAGTCAGAAAATAGTCTCTCAAAACAGACAGTTGTGAGGGACAAGAAGGTCCTCTGAAGTTAGTGCTTTGCAAATTTATAGGATATGTCTGGCATTTGCTTCCTGTCTTGATAATTTCTATGCTTTTAGCTTTAAGCATGTATCAGTTATGTTTTTCAGCTCTCAGTAGTAAAGAATATTGCTTAGTACCTATTAGGGCAAGAAGTAACCGTGAAGTCATTGTAGTAATGGAATCCTGTGTTATATTTACGTTGCTGATTAAGTTTATAAAACAGAAAAGGATCTGGAAAAAGGAGGGGAAAGAAGGGTATGGGGAAAAACTGCACAGTCTGTCATGACTAAAAGGTTGGAATAACTGTAAGAATGAACATAAACTTATCATTCATCAAATTATTAGTCACTTCCTACATGTTATCCTGCCAAAGTTGGGGAGGCAGGGGGGTGGAAATCAGCCTAAGCCGATTTTTAAGTAAGCACACGTGCAAACCCCCTGTTTTAAGTGTGTTTGGTTTGGGTGAGGTGAGGGTTGCTGTTCTTGGATTTTATTTTTTTTAAAAGCACAAATCTTTTTCCCCTTCTCATCTGCCATTCATATGTGTGTTTTAATTGTGGTCATTAAATGCATTGCAATGATTGTCCTGAAATTAAAATTTATTACTTTAAAGGCACAAAGGTATAGAATAAGGAGAAACATCTTGCATGAGCAAATATGGTAGAAGTAAATGGTCATTTTGTGAAATAAAAGATTACCAGGTCCTAGAGGAATCCACAATAGTTCAACATAATGTGAACCATCTGGACAGGGGACAGGATGTTGACAGTTTACTAACATTCATTAATTCAGGGTATTAAAGATGACATCTGACAAGGAAGAACTGAAGCTCTTAATAGACTTAAGAGCAGGCAAATTAAAATCCCTGTGGATAAATGTGAAACAATGCATGTAAGGAAAAACAAACTTTATAATATAAAATAATAATCTCTGGGCTGACTGTTCTCACTCCAGGTAAAACCTGGGAGTTATACGAAGAGGTTGGATGAAGATGTCAGTTTGGCACCTAGCAGTCAGAACAGCAAAATGAATATTAGGAGGAAGGAAAGGAATAAACAACAAAAAGAATCATTGTTAATACCTTCGTATGAATTCTTGGTGTATCCACATGCATACTCTGCGTTACTCCAGTCTCCTTTATCTCAAAAGGGATATAGCTAAATTAAAATGTTTCAGGGAATGGTTAAAAAGTTGATCAGAGACCTTCATTACCTTTTAGCTTCTTCAGGAAGGGTCTTAGCTAAACAGGATGAGATTCTTCAGGACAACAAGACAACAGGGCAAAGATGATATACCTTCTTCATATTGGTCTTATAGGGATTTATTTGCTCTGTTTTCCACTATATGAACTAAGGTTCAGTTGATAACCCCCAACAGGTGACAGGTTCAAAACAGATGGTTGTTCCTACAATGTGCAGTTAAACATTTTGGAACTCCTTTCAAAAAGCATCATGAGATGCTGAAAGACGTTACTAAGAGTCTGAGAATGAAGGTCACTGAAAAGAAATGCATTAAGAGTAGTTGAATACAGAAATAACACCTCTGGTTTGACATAACTAAACAGTTAATTATTAGAAGCTGGAGAGTATTCTGGGCAAGTATTACTTATAGTTGCCTTGTTTTTATTTTCTTCCCTGGTTTCTCACCAGTAGCCTCTCTCCTAGTGATGACAGAGATCGATGGACCTTTGGTATCACTCATGCAGTCACTTTTTACAAAGCTTTGTCAGCACTTTGTCCTACTGGGGCAGGTATTAGGACATTTAAGGGAATAAAAATTTAGGTTCTCACCCAGTCATTTTAGGATTGGTCTTCATTGTCATTGCTACCAGCAAAGATGCCAGATGAATGAAAAGGGTTCTTATAATGGGAATGCCTTTTTGAGAGTTCTGTGCCGTTTACCCATATACTTATGCAGTAGTCTGTAGTTGAAACTTAATAAATTCTAATAGAATTGTATCATTCAGATATTATTGGAATCTAAAGTGTGTTTTTCTATATTGCATTTAAAGAGAATGTTATTTTTAAAAGAAATAACACATCACATAAAATTCACTGTTTATTTTGCTTTTAGGTAAAATGATCCATTCTATGGTTGCTCACTTGGATGCTGTCACGAGTCTAGCTGTAGATCCTAATGGAATCTATTTAATGTCTGGAAGTAAGGGTTTTTTAATCCTCTGTATGCTCTATAAATTTTGTCTTTATGACGCGCTTAAATGTATGACAAATCTAACTTTGTCTTTTGTCTTTTTTTTCTTTTTTTTCCTAAACAGGCCATGATTGTTCCATTAGGTTATGGAATTTGGACAGCAAGACATGTGTGCAGGAAATAACAGCTCATAGGAAAAAGTTGGATGAATCAATTTATGATGTAGCATTTCATCCGTCAAAAGCGTATATTGCCAGTGCAGGAGCTGATGCCCTTGCCAAAGTATTTGTGTGACATAGCAGAACAAACCTGCATCATAACAGCAGGTCTGTTTGGACAAAAAAGAGGGAATGCGTCACTGCCATCAATGATAAGGTTACCAATAAGACACTACATCTGATCTGCCTGGGTGAAGGCTTTTATGTGGGGCAGGTCTAATTTGGTGAAAAGTCACCACATCTTGAACAATGTCAGGCTCATTCATTTAACTGTAATTACTGTATTTGGGGGGGTGGAGAGAAATACAAAAAAGAAAACCAGTATTTGTAGCCTTGACTGGATATGAACTGAGCGTATGTCTGTTCTTTAGGTGTCTTTAAGCAAACGTGGAGTCTGATCTTACAGAAGACTTTTATTTTGGACTCTGTGTGCTGCCTTAGGGTTAGGAATGTGGTGCTCTTGTGGGGGGAAGTGAGCTCCAAGAGTAGCTTTCTTTTCATCTCTTAGTAATCTTCTGTTTATCAGTTGAATGCCACAGATTCCCCTTTTAAACTTTTATTTTGCTTTAAAGTAAAGGAAATTTAACTTAAAATATTTTAGCATTAGTTGCACAAAAGGTTTGGATAAAATTCTAGTTTTTATAAGTCTTTTTATATATTTAGCCTGTCACAACAGTGCTCAAGATTGTATTGATAATGTTTTTCTGCATTATAGAACCCTAAAACACAGAGATCTCACTGACCCGCTGCCGTGTAACCACACTCTTCCCTTCTTTTGCCTAATACAGCTCAGCTAAGTCCTTGCATAAGGATGCTAATTCATCATCATCGCATAACTTCTTCGTAAATAAAGGACTGTAAAATGTGTTCAAATGAAACACAGAGGGGTTAACACCCCCGAATGAACTCTTTTAAAAAAAAAAAAATTTAATCTTGGCATCCTATCACTATGTGATATTTTGTACATCTTACTGTATTTACGAGTTTATTTATCAAGGATTACCCATCTTGCTAATGGCCTATTGTTATTTATTTCACTTTTTGTTGGTCTTTATATCCTTTTATGTAGTGTGTTAAAGGGCCCTGTATATCTATTATGGCACTCTTTGAACAGTCTAAAATAGATGAGAAAATGGGACATCTGATAATTCTAAAGTTGCAAACCAAGAATTTCTTTTTCTTCTGGTTAAGTACCTGGAGTGGAGTTGATTCCAAAAAACAAATCTTGTTTCAGAATTTTTGGAGTGAAAAATATTTTTATTTGCATTTCAAATAGAATACAAAAGTAGTTGATTCAAGATTCATAAATCTGCTGTGTTTTGACTAGTTATTCCCTGCTTTTATTTTATTTTCAGATGTGCTTCAGTTTATGGTGTAACTAAAGATTTTGTTTGTGTAATGCATGATTAATACAATAAAGTATTTTTTCTAGTCTTCCACAAAACTTTTCTGATCAGTTTGCGAGTTTTGATGAGTTTTGTAAGGTTTCTGTTTTACAAACTATGAATCAGCAAATTTTTAAGATTGTACCACATAGCAAAAGTACAGCTGTTGAAAAATAATGTATATAAAATGCATATAATAAATATTAAATGGTGTACCTGTATGTTACTGTTGGCTACATTATTTTGTGTTGCACAGTTTGAAAGTGTCATTCTACAAATTACTAAATTAGGTCTAAATTTTAGCAAAATTACCATTTGTTTATTATGTTTATAAGCTGCTTTGCTTTTGGAAAATTGTAATAGTTGTCTGGATGTCAACCAACTGTTCAGTTACAAGCAGGAGTAGCCATATACAAGAACATGTTTCCACAATATTTTTGAAGCTTTTTCAAAGAACAAATTGAAAATTGCTAGTGTATTCTTAGAGTCTTCATAAGATGATAATCACACTGTTTTTCGCTATCTCTGTATATGAAATGGTTCTCAAGTGATTTAGGAGTCAGAAAGATACTGGTTTTATTTCAAGTTGCCACTGAATCATTATGTTGAATTTTTTTAAAAAAGTGATATTTAAAGGCTGAAAATTTGCCCATATGTCAAATGTACCTATTAACCTTTGTCCATTTCTTTACAAGTCCTCCAGTAAAGGTGATGTGCAAAAGGACAATCTTTTTGCAAAGGCTAAGCTGCAGGTCAACATTTACCTACTCTGTGATGAGTTACTTTCCTGAAAGGATATCAGAAGGAACAGAGTACCACAATATGAATCTTAAATTTCCCTGTAAAAGCAGTATGCTTCGGTATAAATTATCTTAAGCGGGAACATGTTCCTGTAAGTGGTTGTAACTGTATTGTTCCATGTAAGTTTCCAGTTTTGGAGTGAGAATGTATCTCATGCCATCTCATGTCAAGCAAATTAGATTTAAAAAAAAAAAGGAAAGAAGGTGCTCATGGTAGGCAGAATACCACAGTTATATTCTGAAATTAATTTTGTTTTAGTAATAATGTTACATTGTTTGAAATGTTACAGTAAATTATAATTGTATAGAAGTTGGATAATTTTGTCCTTTATCATGATGAAGATTGAGGTGAGGCCTTTCAGTAACTGCTTGTAGGACACTAAGAATTTACTTTTGAAAGTAATATTCAGCTAATTTGCACTTTTTTGTTCCTTCCAGTCTAAAGCATTCAACTAATCAACAGATGAGAGTATTTGAATTTTATTGAAAGTAATTTCATAATCGCCTTTTCTGAAGCCAAACATTGTTTCTGGCAGCTTTTCCAGACTGCTGCGTTTTAATGCTTAAATGAAATGTGATTGTTTAATAAACATTGCCATGCATAACATTTACCTTTTTTTTAATTGTATTAAAATTGAAATGGTAAAACAAAAAATATTTGCTTATTTTCCTTAATTGAAAGCTTTGACAGTCATCTTAGTTCACTCATGCATAGTGGATCAGATGCTGTAGTGAGGCTTCATTTATTATATATTGACAATAATCTCTAATACAGTCTATTTATTGTGGGATATAACATGCTAAAACCTTTATTTGTTTTTTGGTTTTTAGAACAGAAGAGCTGTAGTATGGGTGTTAGGGAAAAATGATAGTGCTGAAATAAACGTTTTCATTTCGCAAAAACACCTCAACTTATGAAAGGACTGATTTACCTCTCTTTTGTAATACCCAAAGGACTTGCACTCAGAACCTGAATGGAAAGATAACTAAATGTGTTTAATCATACAGTTACCATTTAGGGTATGATTGATGTAACAGACTCCCCATCTTGCTTTTTATTGTAGGAACTGTTCTAAGCAGATGAACGGTGATTAGTCCAGCATCTGGTCTTCATAAATATCAAATACATCTGAAAAAAAGTGTAACGAGCCCTGATCTAGAACCTTCCCTAACTGAGAAATCCTAAGGAAGAATTTAGTTGCCACTAGATTTTCCTGGTGGAAAAACTGTGGGCTTGAGGATACTTTTTTAGAGACTGTCCATTTCTCCTGTTCTATGTTAATTGATTTTTTTAAAAAAACTGATAGCACTCTCTGTCCTTGCATACTTTTATTATTATATGCTTCTCTAGCACTTTCCATCTCAAATCAGTGGAAAGCTGCTTGGTCACAGTGCTGACTACTTTTCCTTCCGGCTACCATAATCACATAAAAGGTACCTCAAACAAATGCATCCCAGTTGAGCAACTGGTATTTTTGCAGGGAGGCTAAACACACAGGTAAGGTGGTCTACATAAATCCTGATGGACAGATGAGTGTAACTTTTTTTTCTTCCCAGATGAGGTACATGGTATGAAAATGAGACTTACTCTGCCTTTTAGTTGTATTTGGTTTCACTACAGAGTGTGTGTGTGTGTGTGTATGAATTTATTTTGGTTTTTAAGAACTTTTTTAAAAGGAAAAAAATAACAAAACCAGAAGGTTCTGGAATCCTTTTTAAATGCTACATCTGAGGTGAGCATGAATGAAGGTTTAAGTTCCATATTTAATATTTGCTCTGTTGATAGCTGGAGAATACTCATCCTTGAGTCCTATGCAAACTAAATGGCTTATATTAATAGTTTTTTAAAAATAAGTAGTTCAAGCTATAAAACATAAGTGTCATAAAAATACATTGCTTTGTTTTCTAATTTTAACATAGAATGAAATTTGGACTGACTTGCTAATGGAAAACAACATGCTTTCTTTTCAGTTCTTCCTGTTACCTGGCTATTGTAATGGCCACCCATAGGAGAAGTCACCTAGACTTTCTGAAAGTGCACAGATAGCAACAAAGTACTTCTAGTTTTGAATACTTCCAGAGTTTAAGGAAGTTAATTTAACTCTGGTGAGGTCCCTAGTAATGAAAAGGAGGCAATGTGAAGTAGCTTTGGACATAAGGCTCTTGTTTTCAAGAATCAATGAACCTCTGACTTCAGTGCCAACAGTCTCTGTGGAAGACAGTAAAATGAAAATTGTTGATGTGTAGTTTAACAGTAGCTATGGTTTTAATTTCTTTAGAGGCACACTAAACTGAACAGATGTCTGTGAGGCCTGGGGTTTTTTTGTGATCTGGAACCTTACTAGGAGAATTTTCTCATTATTAATTCCCAGACATCTTGAATTTGGTATTGGTAATATTTCCTCCTGGAAGGTCATGTCCAGTATTCAGCTGATTTGGTCTAGTTTTCCTGAAGCAAAATAAATGGAGAGGCCAACTGTTGGCCAAGCCATAACCACCCTAGCGCACTGACAGTGCCTAGGAGCAGTGCTAGGCATTTAATCTGGCAGGAGAAGAATTCTTGCTTTGATTGTGTGTAGAGCTATAACATAACATTGCCAGAGGAACACTAAATCTCTAGCATGTTCTCTTAACTAGAGGAGAGAGAAGAACTGATTCCTACAAGCATATGGCTCCACTTTAAGTTCTCCATTGGTACCCTAAACTATTGATGGTTGTTAGCTATTGACCTCTAACAAATAGCAAGCAGCAACTTTTAACTATTTAATATCTTCATACAGAAAATGTACACGGTTGTCTTCAGTTACATGGAGAATATCTATAGTGTTCTGTTACTTAAATCTTATCAGTGCCACAAGGCTTTTGATGCTCTCATTTTAAATTTATACAAATTAATGGATTTTATAACAGAGTTTAAAACTTCCTAAACTAAAACATTAGTGCTGTGAATCCTTTGAAAAGTGGTGGTCTTTCAAATAAAAATAAACATAACACTAGCTTAATTATCATGTGGCTTGTAGAATTGTTCATTTCTATCACAAAAGATACGGGTGAGATTTATAACCTCTTAAGGTGAAATGCTCCATTCTACTTCAGAGATTACTGGACACCATAGACTAAATATTTCACTTGGTGATCAAGGAGTATTTGTTTTTGAGATGTTTTTGACTTGGATGTATTGGAGACCCTTTAGCCTGAAGGGAGAATACCACCATAAAACAACGATTTGCAGCTCTATCCTCAGGTTCCTTTCTGACAAAAAGTAAATAAGATCGGCTCTGCGACCATATTTTTTTAAGCAGTGTTCAGTGTAACTTGAAGAGGAGCTTTTTGCAGCTGAATGTTTTTGATAATTTTATAAAGATTTTTAATTCTATTCTGTCTGAAGCATTTGTTAGTGCTTGCTGACTGGCTGACTTCCTGCTCCCATCTGCTTTTGTCTCTCAGCTTTTCTTGAAAGTACCAGAGGCTTTGAGAAATCTGTAGGAGGAAAAGAGTAGCTCGTATAAATGTTAGGTGGTGAATCCATGTGTGATCTACAGAAATACACGTCCATTTGAACTCCTGAGTTGAGGTAATGACTTTGTCAGCTCAGTAGACAGAGGCTTGTGGCCCAGCTGCCCCGGGGTGGGGCAGGGCTGATGGGGCCCACCTGGGGTGCTGGCTGGAGCAGGGGGTAATGGCGGCTTCTGCACTGGGGACAGAGCGGGCAGCGCGAGTCCCGCACCAAGCTGTGAGTACGCAGTGTGGGGGAGAGATTGCACCCCTTGCCTGCAGCTGTTTCGGTGTCACGGGAGGGGGAGAGCTGCGCACATTATCTGCTGTTGGTCGCAGGCCCCTGAGGTGTTTCCTGGGGCTTCTCCCTTGCCTCTCCCTGCAGCTTGGCTTTGCTGTGTGACCTGGGAGCTGTTGCTTCGCCTCTGGCCACCAGCCTGGGGCGATCCTGGTGAGTCTGCGGGCTGGGCAAGGGCAGTGATCCCCAGACAGAGCCCCAGAGCTGCTGGGCTTTTGCTCATGAACGGTGGCTGGGCAAGGGGATGTGTTTTTCCGTTGTGAAGGAGGGTTGGCCGAGGGGGTTGTGTGCTACTGTCACTTGATGTTGACTGGCCTGGTTGGCTTTTTTAAGCAGATGTTTTCCTGTTGTTTCATGTGTCTTTCCAGTTGCTCTTTTGTACCTTGTAATGGGGGATTTTTGTTGTTGAGGTGTTCTTTAATGAATGTATGGGGTTTTTGTTTCCAAAGAAAAAGCTTTTCTGAGGAAAAAGCTGCTCATTTGATTAGGGGCATCTTGTATCTAAGCTCTTGTCAGACCTATAATTCAATGTGAATAAAGACCTCCTGCTTCATGCAGAAGTAACATCTTCCTTTCCTGAAATCTCAGCAATGGCTGAGAGCAAAAAACCCCAAACCCTTCAGCTCCCTTGGGAAAATATCCTGCGTGCAGCAGGCGGGGGGCACAGAGGGGGGTGCGGGGCCTGTGCTGCTGCCTGTCGCGCAGGCACACTGCCACAGGGGAGGTATCGGGCCTCTGGGAGAAGCAGTTGGCGGCTCTGGGTGCTGGTGGCAGGAGTTCAAAAGCAGAGGCTCTTGCAAGGTCCTGCAGACACTCTGCATGCAGTGGAGTATGCTGAAGTCTGTGTTATGCTTTGTTTTGGGTGCTTGGTGCTTTTGGTGGACTAGTTGGTAGCCAGAGGTTTCCCCTGGGTTGCCTTGCCTGGAGTTCTTCTGTGTTACTTAGAAATACTATTGGATCAAAATGACAACAAATGTTTTTAAATGCTTTTCAATACCACTTCATTAGTAGGGCAGTTGTTAGCCAAACAGGAGCTGTATTTTAGCTTCCTGAATTA